ACCTCTACCTGTCCTTAGAAATGCGGCCAGACTCACATCACCTAATGCTGGTGGACATTATGTGTCAAAAGAAGCATTTTCTCCTGCAGAATTTCAGTCCAGGATGCTGTTACAAACTCAAAATGTGCCCTTTAGGTAGCCTGCTGTCAGAATGGCAGTACTTCCTGTTTGTGAAGAAAAATTAGGAGGTTGCCTGTTTTCAGTCCTTTCTCTCACCCTGTATTTCCCTCCTGCCTCCCACCCCAAATAAAGACAAGAAACACTAGAATTTATTTATATGTATTGATGTTGTAGGTCTAGAAAAAAAAGTAAATGTCCCACTGCTCTGTTTATATAATGTCTGAATTACTGTGCAGGAAAGGCCAGGAAATTGCATGTGAAATTTGATGTTCTCACCACCTCTGTAACTTCAGCTTTGGGCTCTTCCCCTCTGGGGTGCACATTTGCAATTAGATTCTGGGGACAGAGGGCAGCTTCGGGCCTCTAAAAGTCCCTGGCCCTCAGTATGATCTGGTCAAGCCAAGTTTTTAGTGCAGAGACATTATAAGGTGCAATATCTCTTCATGTGGTTTTTAGAGCCAAGCTCAAGGCATAATAGGACATGGGGTCTTATTTTGGTTTTAAACCCCCATCTTCAGATCATAGATAAAAACATAGGAGCTCTGCGAAGGTGCCGTGGCCTTTAGTGGGAGCAGGCAAAACCCAGCACCTGCCTTTTCTACTGCTGAGATGGATGGAGGGTGGGCAGAATTATTTACTTCTGCCTACTATAGTTTCCTAATGCTGGTGGCTTTGTTGGGGCCACTGATAGTGTGATCCATGGCGTGGCAATCAGGAACTCTTTGGTCCGGTTGGTCCTGGTGGTACATTCAACATGTGACATGTACTAGCCGAAGGCTACTGCCAGCTGCATTTAGTCTGGTTAACAGTTGCTTTCCTTGTCTTATTCCCAAGTTTACCATTTTCAAATTTAGAGTTCACACAACACATCTGGGCATAGATTCCTTAAGGGGGAAAACAAAGGGTGATTGCATTACACATTCTGAAAAGCTGGTTCAGTTCTAAAGCCATGGTCGGCTCTGTTGCTGTGACAGATACTAGGACGACGTGTCAATATCAACATTGGCCTCCCGTTTTCTGGAGCTACCTTCCAGATGGGTGGTAATGAAGTCATGAATGATTGACACTCAGGAGTGTGCCTGCTGAGGCCATGAGGAAACTCTGGTTAAGCCTACCCTCCACACCCCAGCATCCATTAGGTCCCCCCTCTGCCAGGTATTCAGGTCCATTGTGCCCTCACTTCCAGCAATGCAAACCTGGGTTAGAGGGCCTGTTGGGAATCTTAAACCAAGGGGACATCAAGTGTGTCTTCTGTTGTATTTGATGAATAGGAAATTGAGACTTCCAGGAAGCCAACTCTCTTTGTGAGATGGCTCTAAGACATGTTAGGTCATCTGGAACAGAGTGGCTCAGTGTTGGGGATGAGCACTGTCACTTAAGCTGTGTTCTCCACCAGGCCCACCAGCTCTGGCTGGTGACCTTCTAGGCATGTGACACCTGTGGCTACGACCTGCAACTCCCAAGGCCCCATCTTTGGCATGTCACAATCCCAGAGCAGCAGTTCCTGTGAAGGCTCTGTGAAAGGCTCCTCAGGTGTTGAGAGGGGTCTTGTGCCCTCAGTTTTCAACCTCACACCTTTTGAGGAAAAGGATTTGGGGGGTTTGTTCTTTTTGAGGGTTTTTTTTTTGTTTTTTGTTTGTTTGTTTGTTTGTTTTGCTTTTATTTTGGCCTTTCCTCTGTCTTTTCACTTAGACCAGATATTTGAAAGGGCAGACGACGATGCTAAAGGTGTACTGTGCAGCTTGTTTAGACGTGATTTGGGAGCCTCTTACCTCGGATGGGAAGTGGAATCGTGAATTCACCCTCGCCCTCCTTCCCTCCGGTTCAGTCCCTGTTGTTTCTCCTTTCAAATATGTGATTGTACTAGCTCTTTCCGTATGAAAGAACTCTCCTTATTTAAATAAAAAAAGTATAAAAAAATAAAGCCAAACATGCTTTCTCGGGTTGTGTGAGTTTTATTTCTCAGTCAATGGGAAGATGGAAGAATTCTACTGTTCTCACAGCTTACAAACTAGGAGTGGCTGAAATGCCTTAGCTCAGTGCAGCACTGTTGTAGGGTTCCAAAGTAATAGTCAACCCTGCAGGCATCTTCAGACTTAATTACACTAGCAGTCTCTGTGGGACTCTTGCTTTTTTTGGGGGGGAGGGGTGTTTGGTTTTTGAGACAGGGTTTCTCTGTGGCTTTGGAGGCTGTTTTGGGACTATCTCTTGTAGACCAAGCTGGTCTGGAACTCACAGAGATCCACCTGTCTCTGCCTCCGGAGTGCTGGGATTAAAGGCATGCGCCACCACCACCAGTTTTGTCTCCCATAGTTTTACTGGCTATTTTAAAACTTTAAGATGGACTGGGCAGGCCATGGTGGCACAGGCCTTTAATCCCAGCACTCAGGAGATGGGCAGATCTCTGAGTTGGAGGTCATCCTGGTCTACAGATTAAGTTCCAGGACAGGCTCCAAGGCTACAGAGAAATCTTGTCTTCTAAAGATTTCACCAATATGAATGGAAGGTGGCTTGGGGGAATGTACCAAGGTCTCAAGAAATTTAGCAGAGACTAAAACACACAACAGTCTCTCCTTCATTCAAGGTCTCTGGGAAGGTTTATTAAGCAAGGAAGGGACTGCAGATTTTTTTTTTTTTTTTTTTTTTTTTTTTTTTAAGGCCCATCCTTACCCTGTATGGCAGTTTCGTTTTTCTTTTCCCTGGGTCTGAGGGCCCCCTATCAGCTGGGGGGCGTGGTTAAGGTACATCTTGAAAATGGGCAGCACTAAGATGGCTGGTCCTCCCTGTGGCCCAACAATGTGCATCCCCTATGTCCCTGTCTGAGTCCTATATGAACTTCTGCAGGAACCGCTGTGAAAGAATAGGTCAGGAAGAAAGAAAAATGGATTAAGTCTAGGGCACAGAGATTCAGATGGGTTCAGGCTGTTGTACTTGGCTGTGCCATCACTAAGATGTGTAGCTTTGGTACAAGGTTCTCTCACTCGAAAGTTCCTTATTTATTAAATGTGATTTGTTAACCCTATCTACTGATGGGGGTAGTGAGGACTTACAGGTCACTGGTACGCACATAGTGAGTTCTAGGCCAGCCAGGGTTACAGAGACCTTGTTTCAAAAGGAAAGAAAAAAGGCGATTTGCATGAGGAATCCCAATCCTTCAGACTCCTCAGCCACTTGGTACAGAACTGGCAGAGATCTGGGCAGTAGTAACTACAGCCAAGTCCACAGCTCAGTTCTCCTGAGGCTGAGTGCCCACAGGCTGTCCTGAAGCACCAGCGTGGCTTATACACTCAGACGAGTGCTCTCTCAAAAGTCCTGAACCATTTCTCTGAAGAAATTTAGGTAGACAATGTTCTCATGGATAAGCTAAGAAACTTTCCCTACATTTTTTTTTCTTTTTAAATGCTTTTTCATGACAGGGTTTCTCTGGGTAGCCATGGCTGTCCTGGGGCCCCCCCCCTGCCTCTGCCTTTGGAGTGCTGGGACTAAAGGCGTGCGCCACCAACTGATTCCAGGCCTTCTTTTTGTAATTATTTTATGAGCGTCTGCATAACACTTGCCTGCCTGGTGCCTGAAGAGGCCAACCTCTAAACAACAGTTACAGATGGTTGTGAGCTGCCGTGTGGGTGCTGAAAATCGAGCCCAGGTCCTCTTCAAGAGCAACCGAGTGCTTTTAACCACTGGGCGATCTCTCAGGCATACTATAGTCTAGCGGTCATCCAATGCAAAACTAACAAAGAAAGAAAATCAAGCATGATTCGAGATCTGGGGAGATAGTTCAGTCGGTACAGGCAGGGCATGAGAACCTCAATTTGATTTCGAGAACCCACCTAAACAGGCATACTTGTAATACCTACGCTGGGGAGGCAAAAGCGTACAAATAGAACCTCAAGGCCATCCTTGGCAACATAAGTGAATCTGGGACCCTGAAAGGGGGGTGGGGAGTACAGACGAGTGTCAGAAGAGTTGATGAGATAAACGTTCCACCCCTGTCTGCCCACAGTC